CCTATAGCAAAAACCTCTCAAAAAGAAAGAAAGAAAGAAAGAAAGAAAGAAAGAAAGAAAGAAAGAAAGAAAGAAAGAAAACAGCTGCCAGTAGATTTTTAGCTACAGGTACTAAGGCCCTCCACCCCTATGATTCCACCTAGTTGAAACCTGTCTTGGTGAGGGCCCGAGAGGCTCCGAGGTGCCTGGAGTCCAGTGTCACTCCGGAGTCCCTCATGTGGCTCAGCACTGAGAGCAGCCCTACTTCCCAGCGCTGGGTATGATTTCCAAGGAAGGAAAAGAACAGGGATTGAGTCCAAAGGCTCAACTGACCCTGTGTGTCCTTGAAGCGGCCACAGCCCTGGTTCAGTAAGGACACCTCCCACAGCCAGCCCAGGGCAGGGGTGCTACCGGGCGCCAGGACGAGGTGCTTGCTGTTTCTCTGAGGCCCCCGTGCACTCTGCACCATCACCCCCACTTTGCCTGTCCACCTTGACCCTGTCATATCCACCCCACGCTACTCTCTTCCCCACCGCCTATCCCCATCTGAGGTCCCCTACCGTGTCTGTGGGTCACTGAGGTGGAGACAGGCAGAGGGGACTGTGGCAAGCAGTTGGCTGAGGCTCTCGGGGAGGACAGAGTCTGGAATTAGGGCTCAGCTTCGGCCATCCCAGAAGGACTTTCTGGTGGGCACTCACAGCTGGTCAGACTTGTCTCAGGGCCCAAACATCAGTGCCGTGTCAAAGTCATGAGCCGTGGATGCAAGATACCATGTGGGCACGTTCCACTCCTGGGTCACTGGGGCAGCCTGAGATTGCCCATGCAGCGTGTGCAAGCCAGGCCGGCCCCAAGCCTGGGAGGGGCCTTGCCAGCCCTACCCCACCAGTGCCCCTGTTGTCAGGGAGCTTGGGCATCAGGCCTCACCCTGCCTGTTGTCCCTGCAGGCTGCACTCCCAGGAGGTGCGGCAGGGGCGTCACTGACACTGTCATCACCAGGGAGGACGCTGAACGGATTCGCAGGTAACGCTGCGGAGGGCGTGTCCCAGCGGTACTGGGGAAGACCCAAGGAAGGGGACGGGTCGGAGCAAAGAACTGCAACTGAGAGGTTATTTAGACACACGTGCACGCACACAGTCCACACACATGCACACTCACACACACGCGCTTACATGCACATGTCATTACACTCACACACACACGCTTACATGCACATGCCATTACACTCACACACACACACTTACATGCACATACCATTACACTCACATACACACATGCTTACATGCACATGCCATTACACTCACACACACACACTTACATGCACATACCATTACACTCACATACACACATGCTTACATGCACATGCCATTACACTCACACACACACACTTACATGCACATACCATTACTCACATGCACATGGAAAACATTCGTGCACACATACACCTATAAACACACATATACATACATGCGGACACACATACAAAGACACAACACATGAATACACGTGTACAATGCACAGCTATAACACATAAACAGTACACTCAGGCACATATATACATGTACATATATACACTCACACACATGCACACACATGCACATATCTGTGCACACACAGAGGCAAAACACACATACACATGTGCACAACAAATAGATACAACACAGAAACACATGCATATATATGTACATACACATATGCGCATACATGTGTACACAGACAAATATATATGTGTAAAACATGCAGATACAACACAGAAACACACAATGCATACATATACACACTTGCACATAGGTACATCTACATAGGCACATACATGTGCACACACACAAACAACACACATACGCGTGCACAATACACCATCACACAGGAACACAGACACACATATATATGGATATGTACACATAGGCATATACACATGTGCACATATGTGTACACACAAACAACACACATACATATGCACAATACACTGCTGTGACAAACACATGCCTGCATGTATATATGCACATGGACACAGGCACATGTATGTGAATACATGTGCACACACATACACAGTGCACATAAACATGCACAATACATTGCTATAACACAGAAGCACACATGCATATACACACATATACACATAGGCACACAAAGACACAGCACATATACACATGCACAATACACTGCTAAGCACAAAAACATACAGGCACACATGTGTATATACACGTACACAGAGGCACATATGTGCACATATGTGTGCACAGAGACACAACACACACGATACACTCCTATAACACAGAAATACACATGCACATATGTATATATACACGTACATATAGGCACACACACAGACAACACATATGCACATGCACAATACACTGCTTTAACACAGAAACACACATGCACACATGTATATATACACATACTCATAGGCACATGTGCGCATATGTGCACACACAGACACAACATATATACACACAATACACTGTTATAACAGAAACACACATGCACACATGTATATATACACATACTCATAGGCACATGTGCGCATATGTGCACACACAGACACAACATATATACACACAATACACTGTTATAACAGAAACACACATGCACATGTATGTGCATGCATGCACATAGGCACATATATGTGCACATGTGTGTACAGAGACAAAACACATGTGCACGATACACAGATATAACAGGAACACGTGCACACATGTATGTAACACATGCACATATGTACATAAATGTACACACACAAAATGTAAGATAATATTTAAAGGATTGTGACAATGTCATGAGACTTTCTCATGGATTTTCAAGGGCAAAGGTGGATCTTCCGATTCCAGGGCGGTTTGAGGCCCCACATGTGCTCTGACAGAATATCAGGGCCCGGCCCTGCGGGAACTTGCTGTCCCACAGCCATGAAGGGAGCCCCAATGTCTGCCCGCTGTGGAGATGTGTCATCGAGACTCAGGGACAGGCCACGGGGAGAAGCTCGGTCCTGCAGCTGGCCTCGCTATGACCTGAGACAGCACTCGGCACCTCGAGAAGTACTTGGTGCCGGTCTTCCTTGTTGAGAGTCAGGAAACAAGATTTTACAGAGAGCCGTGCCCTCAGGTGGTCACGGGACGTGCCGCATGTGGAGCAGCATCTGGCCCTGGAGGCCCGCCCTCCCTTGTCCTTCTGGAAGTGGGGTCATTGTGTTCCATGTGGAGACTGCCCAGCCCCGACAGGTCAGCACCAGACTGCCAGCAGCTCGTGGGCACCTGAGGCCATTCGGAGGAGGCTCGGCTGGTGGCAGTCTGTGCTGACCCCGGCCTGGCCCAGGGCACAAGGACAGTCCATGGGTTCCTTGCCCCACGCTGCACTCACACGCGTCCCGCTCCCCTTGGACACCGAGTTCCTCGATCTGAACCAGCAGAACCTCGGTTGTGACACTCTTCGTGCTGTGACAGCTGTCACAGAGGGTCCCACCCACTAACCTGTGGTTTATGACTTCCCACAGCATCGCCGAGAAGGGGCTCTCTCTGGGAGGATCTGACGGAGGGGTGAGTTGGTGTGGTCCCTGCTCCGGGTGGTGCCCGCAGCCCCAGGGAACAGAGTGAGCAGGAGCAGCTGCGTCACCCACCCCAGGAGTGGGTGCAGAGCCCAGCCGCGAACTAGAACGCGCGTGTGGTTCTCTGGAGGTCAATTTCTAGACAAAAGCGTTTGTGGGGGCAGACCACGGAGGCAGGCTGCTCAGAGGTAGCCCAGGGCGTCCCGGGAACGTGGGGCAGTGTGAGTGGCCTCGCCCTGACTGCTCCCTGTCTCCCAGGCCTCCATTCTGGACCTGCACTCGGGGGCCCTGTCTGTGGGGAAGCACTTCGTGAACCTGTACAGGTGAGAGCACTGCAGCCAGAGCCCCTGGGCCCCAAGCAGTGACAGCTACACCTGTCCCGGGCCCAGGGTCGGCACAGCCTGTCCTGCGGCAGGATCTCTGTAAAGGAGGCTTCCGGGAGGGCTCTGGCCTGGTGTCCTGGGGCTGTCAGGAGACCGCGGCCTGCCCAGAGTGAGGGGCTGAGGGACGGGGTTGGAGGAGGGGGCAGGATCAGACGGATGGTGAGGGTGGGCAGAGGGCCAACCGCGCCTCTCCGGGCGCACTGCCCCCTTCCCCTGCCTCCCCACCACACCCACATGTCCCGTCGTCGGAGCAGGCAGCTCTGTGAGGCTCCGAGAGGGGCGAGCAGCTTGAGGAAAGGCTGTGTTGGAAGGAGGAGGAGAAGGCCGACAGGAGACTTCTGTCCATGCTCCGCTTTCTTTCACAGGTACTTTGGAGATAAAATACAAAACATCTTCTCTGAAGAAGACTTCCAGTTATATCGGTAAGCAGGCGGAGGGGAGGGCTGGGCAGGGTGGGCCGGCATCTGGAGGGGAAGCCGGGCAAAGAGCCTGGGGGGTAAGCCGGGTCCACAGACATGAGTTTCCACCAACCAAACCGGTCACAGCCGGTTCACAGACCCAGACATCTTTGGCATGAGCTGCTGGCTGACGGCAGCTCCCGGACATGCTCCTTCTCACGTCCGAGGTCCTGGGTGACCGAGTCCCTGATCGGGACCTCTCGCATGTATGTGTGAGGCCAGCTCGGAGAAAACGGTGCAGCTGCGCTAGCACAGCACAGCAGCGGGGGCACCAGGACTCTGCTCCCATGGCCTTTGTCATTGCCGTGTAGGTAGGTGTGCGTGTGGGGTGGACGTGTGGTACATGTGTGTGCAAGCATGCATGTGGGGTGGACGTGTAGTTCATGTGTGTGAGTGTGTGTGGGGACAGGTGGGCGTGTAGTAAATGTGTGTGGGGACAGGTAGACGTGTATTAGATTGTGTGTGAGCGTGTGTTTGGGGACAGGTAGATGTGTAGTAGGTGTGTGTGACATTAGGTGTGGGGACAGGTGGACATGTAGTACATCTGTGTGTGATCATGTGTTTGGGGACAGGTAGACGTGTAGTACGTGTGTGTGATCATGTGTGTGGGGACAGGTAGACGTGTAGTACATGTGTGTGATCATGTGTGTGGGAACAGGTAGACGTGTAGTACATGTGTGTGATCATGTGTGTGGGAACAGGTAGACGTGTAGTACATGTGTGTGATCATGTGTGTGGGAACAGGTAGACGTGTAGTACATGTGTGTGATCATGTGTGTGGGAACAGGTAGACGTGTAGTACATGTGTGTGATCATGTGTGTGGGAACAGGTAGACGTGTAGTACATGTGTGTGATCATGTGTGTGGGAACAGGTAGACGTGTAGTACATGTGTGTGATCATGTGTGTGGGAACAGGTAGACGTGTAGTACATGTGTGTGATCATGTGTGTGGGAACAGGTAGACGTGTAGTACATGTGTGTGATCATGTGTGTGGGAACAGGTAGACGTGTAGTACATGTGTGTGATCATGTGTGTGGGAACAGGTAGACGTGTAGTACATGTGTGTGATCATGTGTGTGGGAACAGGTAGACGTGTAGTACATGTGTGTGATCATGTGTGTGGGAACAGGTAGACGTGTAGTACATGTGTGTGATCATGTGTGTGGGAACAGGTAGACGTGTAGTACATGTGTGTGATCATGTGTGTGGGAACAGGTAGACGTGTAGTACATGTGTGTGATCATGTGTGTGGGAACAGGTAGACGTGTAGTACATGTGTGTGATCATGTGTGTGGGAACAGGTAGACGTGTAGTACATGTGTGTGATCATGTGTGTGGGAACAGGTAGACGTGTAGTACATGTGTGTGTGATCATGTGTGTGGGGACAGGTAGACGTGTAGTATGTGTGTGTGATCATGTGTTTGGGGACAGGTAGACATGTAGTAAAGGTGTGTGGCATTGTGTGTGGGGACAGGTGGATGTGTAGTACGTGTGTGTGTGATCATGTGTGTGGGGACAGGTAGACATGTAGTACATGTGTGTGTGATCATGTGTGTGGGAACAGGTGGACGTGTAGTACATGTGTGTGATCATGTGTGTGGGAACAGGTAGACGTGTAGTACATGTGTGTGTGATCATGTGTGTGGGGACAGGTGGACGTGTAGTACATGTGTGTGATCATGTGTGTGGGAAAAAAGTGTGTGTGATCATGTGTGTGGGAACAGGTGGACGTGTAGTACGTGTGTGTGATCATGTGTGTGGGAACAGGTGGACGTGTAGTACGTGTGTGTGATCATGTGTGTGGGAACAGGTGGACGTGTAGTACGTGTGTGTGATCATGTGTGTGGGAACAGGTGGACGTGTAGTACGTGTGTGTGATCATGTGTGTGGGAACAGGTGGACGTGTAGTACGTGTGTGTGATCATGTGTGTGGGAACAGGTGGACGTGTAGTACGTGTGTGTGATCATGTGTGTGGGGACAGGTAGACATGTAGTAGATGTGTGTGACATTGTGGGGACAGGTGGATGTGTAGTAGATGTGTGTGAGCGTGTGTGGGGCTGGTACGTGTGTGTACGTGCGTGTGAAGCCTGCAGCTCCGCAGTAGGTGTGCCTGTGTGCTGTGAAGTCTGGGTGCCGGTCCAGCCTGAGCCCATGCCTGCTCCAGGAGTGCCGTCCCCAGACTGTGGAGCCCCATTGCCGCCACAGCCGAGGTCCCGTCAGCGCAGCGGGGCAGGGGCAGTGCCCAGACGGCGTCGTGCTGCGGTGCTGCAGGGCGGCTGCCGTCCCCGACTGCGCCTGTCCTGTGTGTCCGGCCCTGGCGGTGCGCTCCTAGGCCACGCAGCACGCTCCAGGGTCTTGGGGGCCGTGGTGCTGTGTCCTCCCGTGAGGGTGGCGGTTCTCTGGCTGTCCTGTGTTCTGGGCTGCTGTGTCACACCCATCCACCTCCACTTGCTATGGTCTGTGTCTTCATGGGTCCCCGAGTGCCCGTGCTCTGCTCTCTGCAGGGAGGTGCGGCAGAAGGTCCAGCTCACCGTCGCCAACGCCTTTGGCATCAGCCCGTCCTCGCTGCACCTGACCAAGCCCACCTTCTTCTCCCGCATCAACAGCACAGAGGCACAGACAGCCCACGACGAGTACTGGCATGCACACGTGGACAAGGTGAGTGGGGGATGGTGCGCCCTGCCTGGTGGCCTCCTCGTTGTCCCGTGGCCAGGGCTGTGGGCGCAGCTCTGTGGGGCCCCAGCAGCTGCCATGTGCATTTGTGCTCTCAGCGCCATGGATGTCCTCCCCCCAGATCTCGGGGACACATACCTGAATCTGGTTGATGCTGTTAGAAAAGAGAATTTGTCATGTGACAAAGGTGGTGACACGCTCCTTCCAACACCTTGTGGTTGTCCCCACCCCTGGCCTGCTCCAAGCTCTGTACAGCCTCTCTGGCTAGACGGCGTGAGCAGAGGGTGCTGGGTGCTTTCCTGACTCCCAGCCCAGGTCTCCACTTCACCCTCCACCTTTGACTTCCCGTGGCCTCCTGTGACGAGGTCAGCCCAGGCTCTGCCCCAGGAAGATCCGCCAACCACCCAGGCTGAGTCCAGCCAGTGGAGAGGCTGCCCCAGATGAAGTGCCTGGCAAAGTGCGAAAGGGGGCCGCCACCTGAGCCTCGCCTGGGCTTCTCCGTCTTGTCTCTGGAGGTAGGGCAAGAGGGAGTGAAGTGAAAAATGACCAGAGGAATTTGGGTGAAATTTGGAAGGCTCTGGACTGATGTTGCCCAGGGTCTGAGATCTGGTCATACTGCCGGGTGTGCCCATTGAATCCTGATCTTTGAAGCGCCACCAAGGAGCGGGCAGACCCAAGTCCCTGGTCTCTGCACATCTGTATGCTAGGCGGAAGCCGTGGCCACTAGAGACCCACGGGTTGCCCAGGGCCTGGCCGCTCTGGCCCATCATATCTTGCAGCAGGGAGGGTGGGATTTGGAACCACGCCCCACGCCCTCGGGGTCAGGGTTTGGTAGGGATCCAGCTTCTCAGTGGACATTTCAGAGAATGCACCATCTCTGAGGGCCGTGAAGAAGCCTGCATCTCCCCAGAGCTTCCTGGGCAAGGCCGTAGCACGCCTCGGTCCCATTCGCCGCGCCCGCATGCTCTTTATCACCACAGGGCACTGCACTTGCAGAGAGGGAGCACCTTGCAGTGGGCGCGGCCTCGCCAGCATCCTCCCTCGTCTCTTCCGCCCACCAGGGCTTGGGGCACACATGCGCCTGCTCTCAGCATGTTCTCCTTTTCTCTTTTGAGAGATTTCTGCTATAGGGCGTGTACACTTGCTGGAGAGATGGAAAGGACAGAGACAGAAAGTGAGAAATCGCAGTGGGGATGACCTCGCCGCAATCCCTTCTCCCTCATTCTCCTCTTGGGATCTTGGGCACACACATGCGCCCGGCGTGAGTTTTAAGCTGCCGGATCTGAGACTCAAACTGTGGCCGACTACTTAGGAGTCCAGTGATATTACCATTACGCCGTCTGCTGGTCCCGCGCTCAGCATGTTTTTCAAGTCACTGGGGTTTGGACGCGAACCCAGTCCAGCCTGCATGAGATGACAAGCCTGGTGTCAATCCCGAGGTGCCTCCCCCAGGTTTCCTGGGAGAGTCCTTGGGACGCCTGGGGCTGCCCACTGCGCCTCTCCAGAGAGCGCTGAGTGCTGCTCGGTCCTCCTTGCACTGCAGAGTGGCCACAGGCCTGGGAGGGCCCCGGTGCGGACGGTGTGCCCCAAAAGCTTGCACGCTGGGTCTCCTTCCGTCTACAGCTGGCCGGAATCACTGCTGTTGTGGGGGCTCGCAGCGCTGCAGAGCAGCATCTGGAAGCCAGTGCACAAGAGGCGGCTCCGAGACCGCGCCTGTCTGTGGCATCTGTCCGCTTGAAGGCGTGCTCAGATATCGTGATGATGTGTCCCCGCTGTCCCTGCCCCTGGGTCTGTGAGATCCTGGGCCTGACATCATTGCTTCCATGAAACTTGAGTGTCCTCCTCTGAAAGAGAAGTGAGGGCCAGGTGGGTGGTGTGGTGGGTAGTGGGTATGGCAGCTGGATCCCATGTGGCTGAGTCCACGGCTCAAGTCCTGGATCTGGTAGCTTGAAAAACATGCTGGGCATGTATGCGTGCGTGCCCACAATCCTGAGACGAGCATGGAAGAGAGAGATTGTAAAGAGGGGATTCTCTCTCTCTCCATCTGGTGAGTACATGTGCCTTATAGCAAAAAAAAAAAAAAAGAAGAAGAAGAAGAAGAAGGGGGAGGCCAGCCGGTGACATGGTAGTTAAGGCATGAATTCCCATTTGGCCTATTGCACTTCAAGTCCTGAACCCGGCAGCATGAAAATCATGCAGGCTGCGTGTGCATGCCCAAAATCTCAGGAGGAGAATCCAGGAGAAGGGATTGTAGTATGGCCGTCTCCCTGCGGTGACTCCTCACGTTTCCTCTCTCTCTGGCAAGTGCATATGCCCCATGGCAAAAACGTGGGGAAAAAAAAAGAAAAAGGTTACCCACCCCCACCCTGATCCCAGCACCGACCTGCCATGCCAGGGCCTTATGGCCGACTATGGGTTCAGATCCTTGGACCTGGAACATGCTGTCCATACGCCCAAGATCTTGATGACCTGGGGGTCTGGGGCAGGTGGTCACAGAGTGACAGAGCCCGTCAGGGTGCTCCGCTCTCTGTCTCCCAAGACAAAATAAATACACCAAATAGCACACCCACATTCCACTGTGTGTCCGACGTCTACAGTGATGTCCGGATAGCAGATAGCACACCCACATTCCACTGTGTGTCCGACGTCTACAGCCATGTCCGGATAGCAGATGTCCTTTCCATTGAGTAGATTTCCCTGGTGTACCTCTTTTTTCCCCAAGGGCATGTGCGCTTGCCAAAAAGAGACAGAGACAGAGACAGAGGGGGAGAAAGCGCCCACGGGGTTTGGTCCTGCCGCAGCCCCTCTGTACTTTTCCACCCTGTTTGGGCACACACATGTGCCTGGTGTGTTTCTCAAGCTGCCGGGGCTGGAATTCAAACCAGTCAGCCATGCAGGATCCCCCCCTTAACCACTAGGCCATGGGCCCAGCCCTAAGAGCCTGCAGTAGCTCAGACACAGGAGTCTGGGGCTGGGTGGTGGTGGCGGTCACGCAGCGGTGCAGCCCAAGTCCCGGGCCTCCGCTCACCCTCTCTTACCCAGACGTGTGAACTGAGGCTGGAGATGGGCTGTGAGCGGAGGTCTGTCGACGCGGGAGCAGCAGCACCGCTCTGGCCCCCTTTGACTTGCTGTTGAATTGCTTGAATGTTCTTATGTGACGTCCCTGGGGACACCTCCTCGTTGCACATTGTACACGCTTGATTTGCTGTCAGCATATTCAGTGGGATTTTAGAGCAAACCTGAACAATGTCATGTTGAAAACAAGGCTGTCACCTGGCACCCCTTATCTGCAGTCAGTTCTGAAGACCCACCGCTGGAATGATTAGAAATAACTATTCGTGTTTGACCTTGAGGGGGTTTTTAATAATAATTTATTTAACTTCATTTTCATTACTTTTTAATTTGACCAGAGAGAGAAGGAAAGTGAGAAAGCAAGCTACCAGGTCCAGGCCTCGGATCATGGTCAGCCCTGTGGCAGTTCAGCGCCCCAACCACCATGCCGCCCGCTGGTCCCCGGACCTCGACGGTTTTAGGACACTAACTGTGGCTCCCCGGAGGGGCTGACTGTCAGAGGCTCGGGGTGATAGGGGCTAAAGTCTGTCCAACCAGCGTCTGGGCCGTTCCAGGTGGGGAAGGTGCAGGGGTCGCAGCCTGAGCTGAGCTGAGCACCGTGGGACGCACAGGTGGGCGTGCCGGGGCTTCACGGCAAACACGGCTTCGTGGTATGTGCACCTCAACCAAAACCTGTGTGATGTGGTGGTTAAGACGCTCAACTCCCACATGGCCAATCAGGGTTCAAGTCCCAGACCTGGTGGCTTGAAACTCACACCAGGAGCATGTGTATACATGCCCAAAATTCCAAGAGGAGAGTGGAGGAGAAGGGATTGGCCTGGCCATCCTCCTGGGGGGGTGATTTCTCACTTTCCCTCACACTCTCTCTCTCCAGCAAGTGCATGCACCTCATGGAAAAACCTTTATAAACACAAGCCTGGGCTGGCCGCACCTGAAGAAGAGCCAGCTCACGTTCCCATTGCTGCTGGCTGGGGGTGGGCCCGCTGGGGGTCTCGGGGCGGCCCATGCCTCTGCCAGCAGGAACTCCTGGGCGAGGTGTCGGCCGTGGCCTCTGCAGAGGGCTTTCTAATGCTGGGAAGGAAGGGGTGGCCGTTCCTGGGCCGCATCTCGTGCTGGGCCTCGGCCCCGTCCAGGTGTCTGAGCGCTCCCTGGCCTCCCACAGGTGACCTACGGCTCCTTCGACTACACCTCGCTGCTGTACCTGTCCGACTACCTGCAGGACTTCGGTGGAGGCCGGTTCGTGTTTGTGGAGGCCGGGGCCAACAAGACGGTGGAGCCGAGGGCCGGTAGGGTGCTGGGGGGGCAGCCTGGCTCACTGGGCTCTTGCACACACGGTCGCGCCCACCACCGGGAAGCCAGCACCCACAGGCCACTCACGTGAGGTCAAGCCGGCCATCGCTGACCACAGAGCCTGCTCCAAGCCCAGAGCACACGCCCTTGGCAGTGCAGGGACCCCTGCCCCTCTGAGGGACACTGGTGCCCTCCCCCTTCTCTGGGACACGCAGCTCAGGCTAAGGCAGCGCCCAGCCTGACTCACCGAGGCCTGAGAGCTGCATGCTGGTGCTGGCTTCAGAGCCCGTCTCCCTAGACCCGCAAAGCTCAGGTCTGAGCTGGTCCTCAGGGTCGGGCAGGCCCAGGGGGCAGGGCGGGGGCAGGGGCATTGGCAGGACCCAGCACCTCCAGCCACAGGATAGAGGCGGGAGATGGGCGAGAACAAGACCTGGCCGCCGTCAGGGTATCGTTCGCGCTCAGTCCCGCGTAGGAGCAGAGGGAATGGCCGAGCTCTAGACATGGGCCTGGGGGCCGGGGCAGGTCCGGCAGCTGCGGGGCTGTCTGGGCCTTCGAGGATTGCCCAGGAGTTCTCGCTGCATAGTCGGCCCGCAGATCACGCTGTGACGTTAGTCCCCGGACGGGACGCACGGCAGACACCAGGGCTTGCTGTGACGCCAGCTTCCCTCTGGCTCACTTTCAGGAGATTTCAGGTGCGAAAGGCCGAGTGTGCATTAACTTCACTTCGTGTTTCCTGGGTTCATGACTTGGTGACACCCTGGAGACAGCGAGTCAACGCGTGGCCTCCCGCATGTACATGCTGCCGCGTGTTTGTCTGAGCTGGGCCCTCGTGACATTAATGTGGCCAGGAGAGGGCAGGTGCCATGGCAAGAGGAGGGCCCGGTCTTCTGCTTTCGTGGAAGGCCTGCACCACCCCCCGTGAATGCGGACCTGGGGCTCCTTCGCCAGGTGCGGCGCCACCGAACAGGAAGAG